AACAGCAACCCCCCCTCTCCTTAGTTACAAGTGGCAGAAACAAATCACCCCAACTCCCAACCAATACAATATAATGGAAAGCAACAACAGTTGGGTGATGCAGGTTCTGACAGTGGGCTCTCTTTGCTGGACGTGTTCAGGCGGAGGCTAGGCACCCATCTGCCTGGAAAGTTTCAGTTTGGACACTCTGGGTGGGCTGGATGGCCTCAAGAGCGTATTCCAATTCTCGGTTTCTGTGATTCAGAGAAAGGCTGAAACTTCAGCTGAAGTTTTTCCTCTGAAGCCCTTCTGTCTTGGCCGCTCACAGGGGACGAACCTGAACTGGTTTTCTGAAACCAGATTGCTGCCTCAGAGGCCGAGGCCGCCTGGCAGATTTCCCCCTTTTCTTTCAGTTTTGCCTGTATTGAATCTGGGTGGAGAGACTTCTGAATTGTTTGTGTGTTTCCCACTGAGAATGGCAGGAAACGCTGCTGCCAGTTGCATAACTGACATTAGGCAAGGCGGGTGAGGAGAGCTGGGGCTCACTCCCGAGAGGGAGATTCAAAGACCATCCCCCTTCTGTGGGTCCAGCAATGGGTGACTGAGCCTGCCCAATGCTTGAACTTTCCTTACAGCCCTCATTTTTCAGGCCCCTTGGAAGGAAAGGAAGCGGGTCGGAGGACGTGATGTGCTGCGAATGTGACCAGCCACTTCTTCTCAGCCCCAGTGACCTGGTTGCGCAAGAGGATTGCCCCAGGCGGAGTGCAAGAAAGCCCTTTTTTTCCCCGTTTTGGGCACCATTTCCTCATTTGGTTGCTCAGAGAGAGCAGGAGGAAAGTGTTGGAAAGGGCGGCAGGGCTGATCCCAGGGAGAAAAGGGGGGAATCCCAGCCAAGATTGCCCCAGAATGCCAAGCAATCTTGGGTGCGGGAAGAGAATAGGTCTCCAGGGCACAGCTAAGCAGAAGTACCCACAGGATGTTAAATGTATGTGTAATAGACAGAAGGAATGACCTTGAGGGACAGGCAGAAGAACCCCTACCAAGACAATGGTCAGATAAAAGAAATGTGACTCTGGGGCAGAAATGTAACCTGAGAAGGCATCTCAGACAAGCCCCTCCCTAGTTCTCACAAAGAGGAAGGGAGGGAGGGGGGAGGCACATTTGGACTTGCAAGAGTCTATTGCTATACAGGTAGTCCTCTATTTACGAACTTTGTGTTACGAAGTTTAGCTGATACGAACAAATCTCCAACAACTCCAGCAATGAAGGTCCTGTAAGTTTACCGTGTGCATGTGTACATACGCCTGGAAGTGTATGGTGCATATGGTACATATATGGCGCACCACAACCTTCTGGGCATACATATGTGGCATGCCATGGTTGGGCTTACAAACAAAATGGACAGCCTCTTGGAACATAACCTGTTCGTAAGTAGAGGATTGTCTGTAACCTTATAATAAAATTTGTATTATCCTGCATGACTTTGGTCTCCTAGTCTGGTCTACCTTGAAGAGCTGACCTCAATCTTGCAAGTCACGTAAAAGTGAGATGGGTAGTTATATAAATTGAGTGAGTAAGTAAATAAATAAATATTATAAACAGGACAACTCCACAAACATTGCGCATGCTACTCAAAAGTCATCTTCGCTCTCGGTCGGGAAAAAACCCCAATTTCGATGTGACACACAACACATTTCAACCATCTATTGCTACAAATCAGGACTGGCATTGTATAATAATCCTTTGAGCATCCCCCATTCTCGAAAAATCCACAGTTCTCGATGCCTTCCAAATTTTGGGCTATTGCCAAGAGAAACCTAATGTCATTAACATACAGTCATATGAATGCCCACCCACAGCAAAAGAACAAGTTTTAACCAAATCCAAGATGTAAAACAGTGGTTCAGTCTTTAAAATCCCAAAGCGCCTGGCTTTGTGTCAGCTGGCGCACAATGCGAATTCAAACATTTGCAAAATCATTTCCATCTAATAATTTGCTTTTCTCCTGTATTTTCAAATCAAACATCACAAACGGTTTCCTGGATATTAGTCTAAAACACAAGGCTAAGCTACCCTTTATGGCTCAGTGTGTTAGACAACATTTCTACTTGGCTTCATATGTTGGATGAACTCAGCCACTAAGGCTTGTAAATTGATTTACTGCTCATTAGTGAACCCAGCACATGGAGGCTTAGACATCCAACTATGATTAAACAAATCATGTTGACTGCAGTGTGAAAGCTTGGCTTGGATTTTTCTCTTTGGCCCTGCAATTTGAACAACGCCCTGCTTGATTCCCTGGAAACAGACAAAACCAACCCCCCCAATTTGGTTTTCTTAAATGTCCACTCCACTCCCACCTTTTCCAGTCTTAAAACTGCTAGTTTTAATCCATTTTGCAGTTTCTCTGATGTTTTCTTCCTCCACGTGATGGGAAAAGGTACAGATCCCAGACATGAAGTGAAGTTTAGCTTCCACGTGTTCCTATTCCCTTCTTTTCCTTTTACAGGCTTAAATTGCCACCCCAGAGAAATTGATTCTTTTCCTCTCGACCTTTGTCCGTCCTTCCACCCTTCAGCATCCAGTTTGGCCGCCCGGGTGCTGGCTGGCATTTTGTATGCTTTGCGCCCCTCCCTACTTGCTCTGGACGGTCAGAATCGGACCCTTGCGTATTTGCGGAGATGTACGCATCGTAGTTCACGTCTCCTGCAGCATGACTTTTAAATGCTTGCTTTATGAAGCAATCAGTCATCTGGCACCTCTTCCTCATTTTGACCCCACAAGGGTTTGCTCTGTGCCAGCCAAAACCAGTACTTCTGAGATGATTCTGTTCTGGGCCCTGCAGTTTTGAAAGGATGTTGACAGACTAGACTGAGATCCCTGCACTGGGAAAAAGGTTAGACTAAATGATGCACAACCTTGCCTTTCTAGGGTTCAGTGGTTAGACTCGCCCTTACCACAATGTCTGTGGTCAGTGAATTAAGACAGGTTGAGCTGCCTGCCACCCGTTCTCCATTAACACAAGGAAATCCCTTGATGGAACCGAAACCGAAGGAGGTGGATCGTGCCCAGAACAGGAGGTAGGAGATTAATAGGACTGAAGATCAGGAACTCATCTTAAGGACATACCCCTCCAGGAAGTCATGGCGTGAGAGGAGTATTCACATGTTCCTCAGCAGCTCAGGAAACTGGAACTGGGTTCAGCAGTTCAGGAAACTCGGGCTGGGTTCCCACAGCACCCTCAACCTGGGTTGACAAGAGGGATTCTTACCAAACGTGCAGCACCACAATAAGAATCCATCATATGGTTTAATGCATTGGCCAAGGTCACAGCAAAGGCTGGGCAGCCCCCAGGCATGGAGCTGCAAACCACCCCTTCTTGTGGCCTTCGCTCCTTGCTGGGTGAAACCAGCCAACACTTCACTCAGCTGGCGGAAGGGGAGGCCAGCGTTCCTGCCCCCATATTGCAGGTGGAAGAAATGAGGCTCAGACCCCAGGCCGGTTTTCAGAAGAAGCCAGGCCGGAGCGGCTTCATTCTCTTTCAGGGGAGGAGAAACCCAACCTGAACCACTCCTTATGCCAAGTCAAATGCTTTGGCAGAAGCGCCACATTTGTCCATAGCAACCCAGCCCAACCCGGTGCCCTCCGGTTTTGTGTTGGTTCTGCACACCCCAACATTCCTGCTCAGCATTGGAGATGTAGTCCCAAAACCTCCGGAAGGGAGTGGGGGAGGCTGGGCTATAGTTCACGCCTTCACATGTTGCGTGCCCTCAACCAGTGCATTCAACAAACCATCCATGGTTAAAATATGGCGTGTGTGAGCAAACCCAGTGAAAGCAGACACACTGCACTATGTTAATTAACAGCTGGTTTGGTGTGGGGTTTAATAAAAGTGCATGAAGCAAACAGACTGGAGGCCTTCAGAGATTACATGGGTAGCCTTAACAAAAAAGGCAAAAACGTTTAACATTCAGCATTTCTACTTGGGGGACCTGTGACAGATGAAAGCGTGAAATCCGGTGAACGTTTATGAGGTTAATTGTTGGGTTCTTTGAGCTGTTGCTGCTTCGGCATCGTCGCTTCCTGTGCGTTTACCCAAAATGTCAGGATGACTCATCACCATAACAAAAGGACACAGATCATCAAAACGGTCTTGGAGCAGAAATACAAAACCAGCCGTTCCGATAGTCCAAGAAGCCAGAGATGGAGTCTGAGCATGCTTCTCTTGGCCCAATAATATTTTGGCTGCCAAGTTTAAATTCCTTGCTCAGTACCATCTTTAGTAGCGTGAATGCAATGGCATGAATGTCAAGGTCTGCTTTAATGCTCTACTTTTTATCTACCTTTAAATTAGATTTAAATGCCCTGTTCTCCTTCAGAAACAGGCAAAACAGAAACAGCTGAAAAAGACTTGGGGACCATTAAAAGTTTCCACAGTGGGTGCCTAGCGGAATCTAGCTGATTTTGACTGACCTCGTAAAACTAAACTGAGTTGAACCTGGACCAGACTTGGATGGAGCACCACCAGGAGATCTCAAGGCTGTAGGTTAAACGGGGAAGTCAAAACCTTCCAGCAAGAAGGCAATGATAAACTATATTGCCGCCCAGAGTCACTTTGTGTGAGATGGGCGGCTATATAAATGTGATATATAAATAATAAATATATGAATATCCATATTGTCAAGAAAACAGGATGCAGATCTCTGTGGAATCGCCAGGGCTTGAGTTTGATTTAAGGGATTTTTTTCACCCTGCAGTACTTTACAATTTCTTCTCTGTTCAGAGTTTCTTTGTGCCTTGCAGCTGATACCTCCTGTCACCTGCAGAAAAGATTCATTGGTTTTAAAAAGGGATGGGGAGGGGGCAAGAGATAAATAAGTGAAAATATATACCTTTTAAAATGTGTTTTCTTCAATCTCTTTTTACTTCAAAACCCAGCAACAGGGCAAGAGAAAGGATCATGGAAAGTCTTGCCTTTTACTCACCACCTAGAATGACCAAAAGTTAAAAAGAGGCTTTTAAAAGTGCATGTGTGAGTTTGGGCAGCATTCCCACCAGCGATGCCAAAGTGCTTCCCAGACCGGGCACAGCCCATTGCAGGAATACAAGCAGGGGGTGACTAAGTCTGAAGGGCCTCCCGGTCCAGGAACGGGTGCAATTGGGAAGATGCAGCTGTGCAAACAGCAAAGCCAGACCCCCCTTCTCCCGTGGATCCCACGGGCAAATAGGGCGCGCGTGCGCGTCTGCGGAATTTCCAGGCCGTGGTGGCTTGCTGGGGGTCCGCTCTGACTCG